TGGTTCAGTCAGTTTTTTATTTCGGCACAATAACTGAAGCTTGTTTCTCACATTTAGCTAACGTGTGATAATGTGAATGATGATTCAGTCAAAGGTGAAGGTAATACGTAAGCTGTAGACGAAGGTGAATGTCGGCAACACAAATGAGCTATCACATAGTGTTAAGTCTGTTTCGCCTGGGGCATTGAATTCATCATCGTCCTGAGGAGAGATCAGGTGATTCACTGCGGGTTAAGATGGTAGATACAGCGGTGCCATTTGGATGATTTAGGTGAAGTCTCTGCGCTTTGCGTTGACACATGTTAGTGATGTACTGGCAAATAGCTCAACTGTAACCTGCGCATTTTGAGTCGTCGCAAAGTAACGGTATTTTTGCAGTGAGCTCAGACGAATTCTGCGTAAGTTTCGCGGAGCTCTGCAACACCCCTTTATTTTACTTTCCAGAACAGTTATACCTAGTGAGATGATATCCATCGAGTTAAATAACTCCGTCTTTCACATCAAGGGGCAATCACCTTTCTTGTGAAAATTACACCTGTATATCTACCTAATCTCTTCGCTACATTAGGTCCATAGGAAGTGATCGCATCAGCAACACTTACGCCATGTGTACAGGATCATTCCTGAGGCGGATTTGCCAACCCATACGGTGTTTTCGCCTGTTTTCAAAATCTTTCCTCATAACTCGTGTTAAAGTGTGCTCGTGACTTTGTGGCTGTATCCAAGGAAACGCAGATTTCACACACTGTCCCATAAGTTTATCGAAAAATCAGCGGAATTCGACAGCCGTGACGTTTTCCACAATAATCCCTCCACAAATCTAAAAGCCTCACCACAACCCACACATACATGCTTTATAGTTATCTTAATTCTTTCGTAGTTCATGTGGACCTTATCCGCTGTTCTGGATCAATTGAATTTCCTGACAACATTACGTACTGCTCACAGTGTGAAAATTGCGATGTTTCTACTTCCATCTCTTTATCTTAGTCCCGTCACTTGGGAAAAATAAAACTATCTGACATTCGGCCCATTGCTACTCCATCTACTGCGACATCGATCTCACCCTCCCTCACCCATTGCAATTTCCTATTCTTCATCATCAAGGACTCGGTGTATTCGCATCCCTCACACAACCTCACCACGTACTCTCAACCGCCCTCCACTCATTGCTGTCAATGTGCCTGACCCGTGGATTTCTCAGGTGCTGATTTTCGGCCCTCACAGGAAATTCATTTCCCGTTCACACCCAACACATCGACCATTGTGATGGCTTTGTAGATCTCGATTGACAAATGCCCGCTAAATTGTCCATTGTGTATTAGACGGCACTGGAGTATTGAATGATTTGAACTCCATGTTTGTCTGTGGCATCTTTCCCCACTCTCATCAATTCCTGGAATCTAGATAGGCACTCTACTGGCTGTTCGATTGCCGCTGTATATCTATGCTTTGTTCTTTTTACATGTTTTGGGACATTGGATCCGGACTAGTAAATAAACAAATAAATTGTATATTATTATCCCCTTTGGCGAGACACGCCTGTGACGGCATGTTCAGCTAACCAAAGCATTCTCCATTTCAACGACCACGAGTGATCAAAAAAAAATGCAAAACAGTAATGAAAGTCGTTTTTCAGTTTTGATAGGGTATCCAACTTGCCTGTTGTTTCAGTGTGTTACCTGATGTTGCACAGGAAGTCTATGTCGGATTCGGTAGGTCACTGGAAGGTATATCGTAGGTATCAATTTTCTTTACGCACATTTTGATGACTGCTTGTTCGTGGCTATTTACTGGTATCGAATCCACGTAGTGGCACTCACATGAAAGCGGAGCACCTATAATAAGAGTAAACTATAAGAGTAAACAACAATTAAAGAAGTAGGGACATCGACAATGAAGACGGGGAATGTGGTGTGTTTGAATGACTTCCTCTCTCATACCACACTTGTTGGTGACAACTTTACCGTTAGCGTAGGTAAGAAAAAGGAATAAAGATGAAGACGGTGAATATAGGGATCTTACTATTTGCAATATTTGCTCTCTGTTGTAGACTGGTTTCTGGATCAGATAAATCCGGGGCCTTGCTTGGCCGTTTGTGATGTGACATCCCAATAGATGGATCACATTTTGTACGGTCAAGTATTTCTTGAAATTCCTGCTCTGAATCGCTATCAGGGGTATCGGTGGGCAATTTGTTCCAGATTTGGTAGTCTTCGACCTACATTCCACTACTGAATGTTCCGTATTTCGTGTGTTGTATATTGGCGATTGTATTATTGCCATGTTAAGGTTGGGGACATGTATTTTCTTGTGCAGGATGTTATAAAATATGATCAGGTTCTGTTTCATTCACCTAAACCAGATGGGTTCAAGTTTGAGGTTCTCACATCGGTCGGAATATTCTAATTTCGATGAGGTTCCTATCAAGCGCTTTGTGGATGTTTGTTGTACATTTTCTAGCTACTGTATTCTATCGAGCAGTATTCCAAAAGAGGACGTGAAAGTGCTGATTAGGCGCAGAGTACAAATACTTTTGCTTTGAAAGTTCTAAATAGCATTCCAGTACTTTGTCTGGTTTTTGCAGAGGGACGTAACCTACTTGTTCGGAGCAGTTGAGAGAGCATGAGTATCTCAGTTCCAGGTCACGAACTGTAGGGCATATATTAATTTGCTTCTCACAAATGGTTAAACTGCTAGATGTTATGTCGCATTTGTATGACAGCGTAATCTTTATCTGTTGTAAATCACATCCACCACTTTAAACACTAGGTTCCGAGCGCATGTAACTCGAGCTGGATCATATTGGTAGTTTCGTTTTTGGTAGCGGGATGAAAACTCTAAACAACGTTGCTATCGTCGGCAACCACATATATGTTCCGAATTTCACAACATCAAACATGCCGTTAACACACATCAAAAACAGTATAGGACCAAGGATACTACCCTGTAATACGCCACTTGTGACTGCTCTTGGTTCAAATTTGTCTTCCCGGATCTATGCCATCTGCGTTCAATTCATAAGTTGCAATTTGAACGATTAAATTAGAGGTTCCCAGATACCATACATCAGTTCGGATATTAGTTTTCCATGTGGTACTCGATCGGAAGCTTTGTGCACATCGAGGTATATAACCATTGTAAGATTGCCGTTATCCTGTGAGGCACTTAGATAAGTTGGAAATTCAAGTTGGCACGTTATGCACGAACGTGCATCCAGAAAGCCGTGTTGAGAGTCGACTAACTTACGAGACAGTAGGACGTCGACCATTGCAGTTTTTATATGCCCCTCCATCAATTTAGATAAGATAGCTGTGTGATTTATTGGACGGTAATTTCTTGTTACGAACAGGAATCCAGATTTATATTGCGCTGTGACAATAGTATCTTTCCACTGTGTTAATACAGTGCCAGAGTTCATAGATATGGTGAACATATTCAATAGAAGCATGGGTGGTATGTCGACACCCCCGAGTTTGATCAATGCAGGAGGCACATTATCTGGCTCACCGACGTAGGATAGTTTGGGGCATTTTACAAGTTTTTGTACGTCACGGAGTTCAAACTTGACACAAGTGAGTTCATCAATTGTTGATGGTGGTATATCCGATCTTGGGGAGGGGGGTCATTATTCACATTAAAGGAGGCGCAGAAGTACTGACTAAAGATTTCACTGGTGTGGGTCGGGTCAGTTATTATGTGGTTATCTGCCGTAACCAGTGAGATCGTGTCTTGATTCCTTTCGGTATTCTTGCACTTTACTATGTTGACTAGATCGTGAATTTTATGCCGGCTGCAGAGAGAGTTTTTTTTTACATCAGCGTTCTCTTTCTTATGACATGCCAGATGTAGAGCTATGGTAAGCTTTTGATGTTGTGCTAAGAAGGAGAAGTCATATGTTTTCCGGTATGCCGTTAGCAACTTTTCGAGCTTTATGCTAGTTTTATGCGACAAATGCGTTCTGTTACTGTACTGAAAAGCATTGCAGCTCAACACTCTTTTGAATCTCTTCACTGGAGTCCATCCAGAGCCTCAATAGTTTCACTATCTGTTTTCATTTTGATGTTGCCCCAAACATGACGGATTTCACGGCCCACACGTTAAACAATACATCCCGTTTTTCTTTGTCATTTGAATCCCTACTTCTCTCCGTCTGATGACACTTGTCGGGTTTTTATTTTCCCTATAAAGTGTTCTACTCTTGTTGGACCAACTCTTGTCGGACCAACTTTAGCGGTTTACTGTAAGTGTTAGGAACTCACCTGACCCCTCATATATTTACATTTAGCTTTAGGTTTTTTCAGACCCAACATTTTAATACCCATTTGAGACATATAATGTCATTTAATGGGTGTTCTTTTTTATTTTAAAGTTGTGACTACAGTTGCCTACACGGTTGCTGACGTGATAAAGGCAGGAATGAACCAACAGCAGTACAACAGTACACAGTACCGACGCTTCTCTGTCCCCCTAGCACCAGCAGTGCCGGTCCGTAGGTTGAAGGTAACAAGCTTACCTTGTAGTCTTACGGCCTGCGTATGAGCAGAGCGACCCTCGCAGGATCCTTAGTCCTTGTGCGACCGACCGGTGGTGGTTGCGCGACAGCGAAACGTTGCGTACCCGCGACGTACTACTGATGCCTTTCCTTTTTTCATCACTACTATTCGCTCGTGGGCTAAGGATACTGCCAGGATCGCCCAGTCCCCTATGCAGGCTCGAACCCGCGCTCTCTGATTACAAGGCAGGCTTGTGATCATTTAGGCTACGAGCCGGACAACCTATCGGTGGTCATCGATTCAATACTGAGTAGCAGATACGCGCGACCTTACAGTATCCCCACCCTGTGCAAGGCGGCTGGTGGTGGCGCTAACTATAACAGTGAACCGCGGTTGTGATATATCAGTGTACCACTGTGTTAACCTCTGACCATCTCAATCCTACGCACCACTACTCTCAGACATGGGTGTATCGTCCCTTTCCATCCTCCCTTTCTCTTACAGGCTGTGATGCGGACGGACGCAAGATTGGAGTGAGTTTCCGCTTTGTACCTCTCATCTTCTACTTCATCCAGCGGTCTGTATGAGCATTATGTCTGTTGTCAGAATGTATCGATCTCTTTCTCCTAACTGCCTGCTTGCTCGTCGGTACACGGCCAATTCTCTTTCATGTTTTCTGCCAGGAATCCACATTCATTACATATTCACACGCAAAAGGTAGCTATTCATTTGAATTTTTCACCTTCAACCAAACCAGCAGTGTATTTCAGAGTGCTTTCATCGGTTCCGTGAACTACCTGTAGACACTCACGCTTCAGTGTACTGCGAGCGGGCTGTCCAAGAATATGACTCTACAATCGATGTGGAGTGTCTAGATAGTTTAACTTGCTTAATCTGGAACCGGAGGTCCATAAAAAGATGCATTAACACCGCAGCATTATAATGGTGATCTAGGAACCCGATTCAGCGCAAAGTGTTTACTGCTCTGTCGCGCCGGTTTTGTGTTGTGTTAACTACTTTACAAATTACTCCAATGCACTTCACTCTCTCGTTGTGTCGGTTGCCACCGGGCAACGGTTTGTACACCACCACACCCCTAAGTCTGCGCAGTCGATCGGTCTTCGCTTCCTACTCTCGGCCATTTTAAAAAGTGTGCTTTCAGCTGTATTCACTGGCCCAGAATGAAATCGCAGGATCTTCGTTATTTTCTCTTTAATGTGTATTGACGGCTGCTAGAAAATCCCCGCATATTGTAGTGGATAACAGTGTTCCCCTGGTTTTTCCTCTGCTCGGCGTGTTATTGAGTGGAATAATAATGGATAACAAAAAATAATAACTAAATTATAGGCAAACATATTGTCCTCAAGCTTTTGTGTCTACAGCCACTCTCCCTGATGTTTGTGGTATGCACGGATGTGCGTGTGAGTTGCGAATTCCTTTCGGTGACCCTATTCCTTGTTACATCAGTGCTTCCACTGCTTTCAAACGATCTGTGGTGTAGTGGCTCTGGCGTTTAAAACACAGTCTCTTCACCCATAGTTCCAGCCCCCTCTCCTGCGCGAATTCCAGAGTTCCCGAAGTATCCTTGTCCGCATACTTAGCAGCTAAGCATTATCGTGAAGTACTGTTGTCTTGCTTGCGATTTCTTTATTGACCTCACTAACTGCGCAGCTTAGTTCACTTTGGCATTAGGGCTAATTGACGCTAGAGGCTGTAACTGTCTTTCACACGGTAGTAACGGGGTTAGATTAACCACGATATCTAAATTGCATATTCTCCTTTTCAGCGAGACAAGCCTGTTGCGGCATGTTCAGGTAATTAATATCATTCTATGGTTCAACGGTCTCGAATGATCGGAAAATATACAACACTGGTGAAAATCGGTTTTCACTATGGACAGAACATACAAGTTGATTGTTGTTTCAGTGTATTATCTGATACTGTACGGGATATTTTTCTCGGCGGTATTGGTAGGCTACTTGAGAATATGAACACGAAACGCTTAAAAGATGATTTTTGATTACAGGAAATGGGTTTAACATACTTATAAAGTATGTATGACGGTTGCTTTGCTCAAAGTTATTCCGTAATATCACATGTTGGTTGTGGCAGTCACATGATACTGGAGCAAGAGAAGCGCCTAGACATGGGAAATGTAAGAATAGACTGAAATAAGAGGAACATTAACAATGAAGACGGAGGATGTAGAGGTGTGTTCATTTGACTTCCTCCCTCAATACACACTTGTTAGTGATAACTTTTTGGTTGGCGTAACCATGTAGCAGGAAGAAAGTAGATGAAGACGATGAGTGTAGACATTTTCCCACTGCAGTATTCCCACTCGATTGTAAACTTTTCTGGATCATAAGCATCCTTCAAATTGACTGGATGTATTGGTGGATGGTTGGGGCGTGTGATTTCGAAGATGCCTTCACCATGAAGAAAAAACGCGTACTTTTCCAACTGCTTCCATCTGCTGTAGGTGTCCTTCACTTCAAATCGAATCGCAGTCTCTGTTAGGATCGTCTGTCGGAATCCAGTCATACAACAACTACTTTAAAATGACCCCATTTCTCAGTTTTATGACTCATTTGGAACGTGGACTCAAGCATGGCCCCAACGCTTGAGTGAGTATCTGGGAAAACTACACAGTTGTTCCAGCTACGCCAAACAGAGCATTGAGTCCGTTTAGCTGGCCTGTTTTGCTGCACCACAAATACAATATTGATGATACTAAGTAACTGGTTTCATTCAACCGTAGTTGCTTGTGAATTGTTACATCCGTGTGGGGTACTACCTTTTGGTGTTTGGTGACCTCCGCCCCACTGCTCAGTAAATCACCTGTTAGATTATAGCCATCTACGTTCTTCATCTTCCGATCAACCACCTAATACTGTTTGCTTTTCTTTCGGTCACTCTAGTGAGTTCACAAGACCTGCACCTGGTAACAACTTGTGGAAGCATGTTAAAAATCCACTTATTTACTTGTTCCAAGTAATGCCTCCCGTCTTCCAGTGGGAGTGCCTCATGATCGTAAACACCAGTAGATGTAGACGTTTCCCTCAACAAACGTGAACTTGATGGTGCTGTTGCTCTAACCTCTTGTGTGTTTTGACGTTCGAACTTCCGATTCACACACGTTTCCATCCTTGCCTTGTTTTTCCACTGTTTTTCTTTACATTTTTCATAACCACTTTCTTTAACTGTTCTTATCATGGCGACATGAATCACATTGGCCAGTTCCGCACACTGCGATGTTCTATTCTAATTTGTTTGTTTGAAGTGGGCTACCTCAATCTAGTTCGCTCTCGAATGCCGCTACAATTGCATATAGATTCACTTAGCTTGACGAAACTTTTGGCTCCAAGGCTAGATGTTGCACAACAAAAACACTTATCAATTATTCCCAAACTTCTTTGCACTCAATAGCTACCGTACTATTTAATAACTTTTAATTTTTAATATAATGGCATGTTAGACGTGTCGCTCCTGATTGCGGGTGACGTTATGAACTGGTTTCACTTTATGTGAAGTATTAGGCTGGTAATACAGTTATCGCGGTTTTTAATCTTAAACCTCAAATGGCTCAAACGTAACATTTTTATTTGAAATAAAAACCATTAAAATTGACACACTTTTGCTAACGGAGACTACGTTTATTTATCTCGGATGTTTAAAATTTCGGGGTTCTGGTGGCGCTGAAATCGTCCGAGGCGGTTTCAGTATCTCATTGGATTTTAATTTTTTCTCTTGGAAGATGTTATCTAGGTGATTGAAAAGGTGGTAACCGATAGCTAGAGGTTAGAGAAATATGATGTGTCGGGCGAAGTTTCGTAGCCCAGCTCATGCAACTTCCATAGGGTTGTTTGTGTTAGGTGCGGCCGAGTGTTATCATGGAGAAGAACTGGCCACTTTTTGTTAACCACTGTGCGGCATCTTTGTTGCCTTTTTCGGTACATTTCGACAATTTACTCACAATGGTTCTCCGCTGTAATGGTTTCACCTGGATTCAGGAAACTGCTGGATCAGACCATCCGCAGACCATCAAACAGTCACCCTTCCTTGGGTGAAATTTCGGATTTGGTAGTGATGTAGAGCTTGATCGTGGCACAACCGTTGTGAGGTTCGTCGTCGATTGTCGTAAAAGATCCACTTGTTACCGCAAGCCACAATCCGGTCAAGAAACGCGTCATTCTTATTGCGCAGAAGAATGGCAGACGACACCTTAAAACGGCGATTTCTTCGCTTTTCATTCCTTTTGTGCGGTGTCCACTTAGCAAGCTTTTTCAACATTCCAATCACCAGCAAATGTTTTAACATTGCGACGTGCGAACTGCCAAGTCAGCAGCAAGAATTCGAGTGGTTTTACGCGGATCCGCTTTAACTAAGGCCCTCAGTTGATCATTGTTTACTTACAATGATCGTCCACACCGCTCTTCATCCTCTGGCATCTCGTAACCCTTTCAAAACTTTTGAAACCACCACTAAGTAGTACTGTTAATAATGGTTCCAGCACCAAAATGCACCGTCGATTTCATGGGCTGTTTCCATTGCGTTTCGATCAAGTTTAAACTGGTACGAAAAATTGCGCACATTTGTCTTTTGTCCATGTTGCATTAAATATTCTGTACAGATGTAAAAACGTGTTTCTGAGCCAAACTATTACTATTGTCTGATAGAACGAAAAACGGACTTCAGAATGATATACAAGGTCAAAGCAACTTGTTAAAAATATTTACAAACACAGGTGTTAAAATAAACATATCAAAAAACCGCAATAACTTTATTACCAACGTACTAGGATCTTCCGTTACCCCATTTGGTGGCGATTATTTGGGCGGTCTTCTCCATCCGTTTTCTAATCCCATGGGGCTTCATTCCCAACGACTTTCATTTTCGAATGTCGTTCACTGGCGCAATTAGCTCGTCCATCTCTGGAAATGCTATTTCATACCGCTGCGTTTTCAGCTTACCGTTCCTTCCCGGTTAGTTCGTTTTCCCGAACTCTAATGCAGAATTCTTCCAGCTGACGCATTCCCCGTGCATATTAAGCCAGCTGGTTTTAAAGGGAATCGTAAACGATTGCTATCTTATCACACCACTTTTCATACGCTCTGTTCTGTGAACCATTTTTACTTCAAAATTCCCCATGTAAACGTATCATTCCTACCTTCTAGTTCGTTTCTCATCTGTTTCCCATCATTTCACAGGGATTTTGGGCGTTCGATATGAATAATGTAATACTGTTTCACGGAGCAAGACAGTTATTCCCAAGAGTTCTATCAATTATTTATGGGGTGTGCATATGCAATTTTGAGCAGTCTATCGACACGCGCTCGACTGCCACAGCTATTCGTTCAGCGGAATGCTCTCTGTGTACGAAAATGGTTTCTTGTGGGTCCACAAGCTAAAATTCTTATCGCTGAACCATCTCCAACCCGGTGGCATTACGTGTTGGTAGCGACATAGAGTCCCTCAGGGCACCATCCCCTTGTATTCCAATTCCTGCTACTATCTCCATGCATACTGCGTT